AAAGAAAAAAGAAAAAAGAAGTAGCAGTGAGAAAACAGGGATAGTTACAAATGGTAGTCTATAGAATTCCATGCACTGAGGCAGTGTGGTGGTAAACTAAGAATCTCGTCTGAAAGCATTGTTAAAGTAACTCTTGCCCAAACTTGCAGTACAGCTGATTGTTAGCCTTATGGCTTGGGTTTAATATTCAAAATCCTGCCATGAAAAAATTCTCTGGGCTTATTTCAATAGATGAAATAGGTTATAAAGAGGCCACCGATCTAACAAATCCAGCATTGTCTTTTCTGGACAATGATAGATCACCAAGGTTTCTCAATGTTTGGGACAACAATTTTTTCCAAGAGGTCCCAATTGATGTTGAGAAACCAAGATTGAGCATAACCTCAGTCTTCCTTCTGTGACCTGAGAAAAGCAGGATTGCATCCAGTATTACACATACAAAGCTGGAAAACTCCTTAAAACAATTGATGGGATTTTAATGTTGCCTATGAGATGATATTGGTATTCAGCTGGAGAAGAGGAAAATTTCTCAGTATCGTTAGACTCAGTTTAAGTGCCAAACACAGGGTAACATTTATAGCAGAGACACATTTTGGTGGCAACCAATGCTCAAAAACCAAAGATATAGTATTGTGGCAGTTCTTTGGAATTATTGTGAACAGGTTCTATGGCATTTTAAAATCATGATATGATTATCTCACTCCTCCTTGTTACAACCTTATTAAAGATTGGCTGCAATAAGATCAGTCACTTTACACATGGAGAACTGAAGTTGGACAAGGTTACCCTGTCACTGTCACATGATCATTACCATCTCCAACCTCAATCTTTGATATTTGGTTCTAAATGTACCCTGACATTCATTTACTGTGTGCAGGGGGCCATAGCAAAGATGGACTGATCACAGGTATGATCCTTGGCACATCTGAGTACAAGTAGAAGTAAAATAAAAATGATGCTGCAGTGATAGAAACTGTTATCCGCTGTATCAGTGTCCTGTTGATTTCTTATTTCCATTCAGTACATAATGCTCAAGAAATTATTATATGAATTCAGGGAAAGAGCTGGAATGAATAGAGACAATAAGCACAATTATGTCACATTACACATTTTTGTATGACTGTTGGAAAGATATAAGAAGAAGATTTGAATTGGCTACTGTCCCATAGTCCTTGGCTTTATAATATATCATCGGACTTCTGGGTCTAAGCCCAGCCTTCTATTAACTCTTAGACCAATGTTTTAAAAGAAAGATTGTTTTCTACTCATAGTGAATACTTTCCATACATCCATTTCTGCTGAGAAATATTGGTATATCTGCTAAACAAACGCTTGTGTTTCAGAGAATTTGGGGGAAGGCTGTAGAGTGTGATGACCCTGCTTGGTTCTCCTTTCTGTCCTTTATAAATGGGGAAAATAACCTAAACCATACAGTCCCTTGTCACTTTACCTTCAAGGAAATATCTGTAGTAGTGGTTAAATACCTTTTTAAGAAAAATCACTCATCGTTATGTGTCATCACTAAGAAAACATGAACTTTCCATAGAAAGTAGTAAAAGAATTCCACACTGTACTGTGACAACACATTGGCTGTTAATGTATTTTTTATTCAGGCAAAGAATGTACTTAATGTGTAAAGGCTGTATTCTGAAGACTAGCATTTCAAAAGCTCCATTACTGTTGTAGCTCATTTTAAGACACTGGAAGTCATGCCTACATATTTATCTATTTGTATGTCTTAAACACAAGAATAGTATTCATGTAGCTGGGAAATACATGGATCTTCTTAACATTAGAGCACAGAGGTTCCATTCTGATATGTGTATGAAGGTAAGTATGTGTGAGTTTTGAAGATTGGCATTCTCAGCCTATGTTAGTGAAGCAATCCTTCAGATTAACATCTGTTTGCAGAGCATGAGGGCTTTGCAGTAACCTGCCTTGGAGAGCCAAAACTATTTTTCTTTGAAAACAATCTTCTACCTTCCCTTTGGGTTCAGTACATAAACAATTTTCTGGTAAGAGACAGAGAGAAACCCTAAGTTACTTGCAGCTTCCTTTTTCAGATTTCTAAAGGCTCATCATTCTGTAAAACTTTAATGGTGTTTTGGATGATAGGCTCAATCATCTGATGAACAAAGTAGGACTCTGTATTCAAATAAGCCCTCACAAGCCAGATGTGGCCCTGTTATTGTTCTGTTATTGTTTTATTATTCTAATCATTTTACTTCTGTTTCACCAGTTTCATTTCAGATAGAACTGCCTTGGAATCAGTCAGGAATAAGCTAACACCTAGCCTGAATCCTCTGAGCCCAGAACATTACATCTCTGCCCTCAAACGTTACTAATAATTCATTCATTTTCCATGTTTAAATATCACAGAGATATAACCTTGCTGCTTTAGGAAGACATAGCTGCTTCCTGAGAAGTAACATCACTCCCACCTTAAGGTTTGTACAGTGAGTGGGGCCAAGATCCAGGGCAGGGGGCACTTTGGGAGGTTTTAAAATGGGTCCTTAAGCTTGTGCAAGACAAAAGGCAAGCATTTTGTCCCTTAACATCCCAACACCAAAACATAAAAACATGCACACATGATCACCCCAAAAGTGGAAAATCTTAGCCTTGCCTACTCTAGGGGGGTCTGGGAAAGGGAGGTTGGCAAACTGCATTTTGTATACCAGCATACAGGGAATGAGATGGAAGACTAAGGTAATAGCATTTTGAAAAGCTCAATTCCTGCCCACATTTTGTTCAAAGGTGTTTAAAGCCCTACTCACCCCATGCTTTTAACATCTGAAAGGCCAGTCTCTCCCATCTAAACCTGCCCATTAAGAATGATTTCATTGGAGGTCCTTCTCCAGGTGTTGCCTCCTTCTGACATGAGATGGATCATGGACAATAGGGCTTTCCCAGGGGTGGCTCTCACACCGGAGAACTGTTTGAAGGTCCTTCTGCTTTCTTTTGTCATCACATAAAAACATTCTGTTCTCTTTGCCTTTAATACTACTGGTTTGCTTCTATGAGAAGGGCTCCTCTTTTTCACTGAATCATTTTATGATTGCCTTTATGTAGTCTGCAACCCATTGTTACTTTATTTTTATGATTGCATGCTTTTGTTTTCATTGATTTTGCAAAATGGCAGAATGTAAACCTCAGAAACAATAACAATAGAGAATTCTGGATTGTACGCCTCAATTGGCAGGTGGACATATTTTTAATGGTCCCCCCTTCCCAAGAATAGTTCCCTCCATGTAGACAACTAGAGCACCTAGGAAAAAACTTTGCTAAAACTTTGTGGTGTGTTAGAAATGGGAACTTTTTACTTAGGGATGCATTTGGGAACATGACAGCTCACCCCAATCTGATGTGGCATATTCTAGAATGCTATTACTGTAGTAAATCACCTTATTTACTTGGAGTGTTTCCACAGTCCAAGTAAATAAGCTATTTAGATATTCATACTAGATATTCATACTATCATTCAGCATAATGTACCACACCTGATACTGGTCTTCATCAGCAGTTTATAATAAATACATTTAACTTTCATATAGTGATGTTCAGTGGAATGATGCTTCAAATCTAAGTTGTACCCTTGCTGTTTTCCAATGGTAAGGTTAGATCCAAAAATGATTTCATAAGCCCTAGGCCAAAACAAGGCCAGCTGTGGTACCAACTATTAGAAATGTGAAAGGAAACCAGTAACAGAGTTCTATTTATTTCCTAAAAAATAATTTAGAATTGTATTG